AACTGAGCTGGGTATGGGTGGCACATGCCTGTAATCCCAGCTAACTTGCGGAGGTCTGAAGCAAGTGAGAAATTGCTTGAAACCCACAGGAAACAGACCGCGGTTGCGGTGAGCTGGAAACAAATTGCGCCACTGCAGCTCCGAGCCTGGGTAGACAAGAGCAAATTCCCTGTCTCAAAAAAAAAAAAAAAAAGATAATAGAGACGTGTTTCTGATTCATGTTTAAAATGTATTTATTTAGGCGGACGCGGTGGCTCACGGCCTGTAATTCCCAGCACTAGTTGGGAGGCCAAGGCGGCGACACCTAGAATGACGATTTCCGAGACCAGCCTGCGCCAAACACAGTAAGGGCACCCCTCCGTCTCTAACGTACAAAAACACAAAAAATTAGTCAAGCCGTGGTGGCACGGTGCCTGTAATCTAGATACCGGACGCTGAGGCACGGAGAATTGGCGCTTGCAACCCTCGGCAGGCTGAGAGACTCGTGGGGCAAGCTGAGATCCGCTATTGCATTCTAGCGGCAAACAAAGAGCGAAATACTCCGTTCTCAAAAAAAAAAAATTACTTTATTTTAGGTAAAGGATATTTTATATACTCTACCTACTCTATTTTTTTATTAAATTTTTTTTGAACATGTCTCAACTCTGTCACCCAGGCGGAGTCAACTGCACCCTGATCCTTGGCTTCACTGCAACAACTCTGCCTCCCAGATCTCAAGTGATTCCTCCTGCCTGCAAGCTTCCGAGCGTCTCAAACAGGCGCGCACCACTAGCCCCAGACTAATTTTTTATATTTTAGTAAAAATATCGACGACGGGTTTCACCAATCTGGCCTAGCAGGCTGGTCCTCGCAAAGTGCTGGGATTACAGTCATGAGCCACTGCTTCCAGCCACTTTATATATGTATACTCTATCCTCTATATATTTCCTATGGTACCATATCAAGAGGCACATAATGTCTTGTTATCAATTAATCAAATGTGGTTCCAATGTGGTTGGCCTGATTCATCAATAGATACAGTAATAAGATCTATCTTTCACCCAGTGGTTTTAGAAACCACTGATGATTGGCCAGGCATGGTGGCTTATGTCTGTAATCCCAGCACTTTAGGAGGCTGAGGCGGGCAGATCACGAGGTCAAGAGATCAAGACCATCCTGGATAACATGGTGAAACCCTGTCTCTACTAAAAATATAAAAGTAAGCTAGGTGTTGTGGCATGCGCCTGTAGTCCCAGCTACTTGGGAGGCTGAGGCAGGAGAACTGCTTAGAACCCAGGAGGTAGAGGTTGCAGTTAGCCAAGGTGGCACCACTGCACTCCAGCCTGGCGACAGATTGAGACTCCATCTCAAAACAAAACAAAACAAAACACTGGTGATTATTACTTAGATTCATCATTTCATAAAAGTTTTGAAAAAAATAGTAATTTTCTAATTTTATTATTCCTTCTGCATTTATTTATTTATTTATTTTGAGATGGAGTGTCACTCCTGTTGCCCAGACTGGAGTGCAATGGCACGATCTCAGCTCACTGCAAACTCCACGTCCTGGGTTCAAGCAATTCTCCTGCCTCAGCCTCCCGAGTAGCTGGGATTACAAGCACGAGCCACCACAATTGGCTTATTTTTGTATTTTTAGTAGAGACGGGATTTGACTATGCTGGCCAGGCTGGTCTTGAACTTCTGATGTCAGGTGATCCACCCACCTTGGCCTCCCAAAGTGCTGAGATTACAGGTGTGAGCCATCGCACCTGGCCAGGAATTGCTCTTAAAGAAGATAGATTTTCTATTTTGGCTTTAGAAGAAATATGTCATTTTTATGGATAATTTAACCGTTGACTAAAATATAGAATGACCATAACTAGAGTTGAAAAGAATTTCAGAGACAGAGGATTCTGACCCTATCATATAACAAATTCAGGCTCTGGGGCTCAAAGAAGCCAAGTAATTAACTTGAAGTCACATAGTTTATGAGAAACAAGCTTGCCTTTAACTATAATTGGCATTGTGGTCAACGTATAAAACTTACGGAGAACATTATCCAGAAAACTAAGAGGTATAACATTCATCTTCATAGCAATTCCACTACATTTAAATGATACAGGAAGTTGAATGCATTGCATCAAAGTCAAGGTACTGGGCCAGGCATGGTGGCTCACGCCAGTAATCTCAACACTTTGGGAGGCCAAGGCAGGTGGATCACTTGAGATCAGGAGTTCAAGACCATCCTGGCCAACATGGCGAAACCCAGTCTCTACTAAAAACACAAAAATTAGCCGGGCATGGTGGCGTGTACCTGTAGTCCCAGCTACTTGGGAGGCTGAGGCAGGAGAACTGTTTGAACTCGGGAGGTGGAGGTTGCAGTGAGCCAATATTGCACCACTGTACTCCAGCCTGGGGGACAGAGTGAGACTCTGTCTCAAAAAATAATAATAAAATAAAAATAAAAATAAATGATACAGAAAGTAGAATGCATTGCAGCAAAGTCAAAGTATTGGGCCGGGCGCAGTGGCTCACGCCTGTAATCCCAACCTTTGCCTGAGTTCTTGTCCTGTGTCCAGGAAGAATGAGGCACACAGACAAGTGGAGGGTGAGCAAGACAAAGAAAAGCTTTATTGAATCTTAGGACAGCTGGGAGGAGACCCACAGTGGGCAGCTCCTCTCTGTAGGCAGGTCATCTCCTCCAGCGTTCAGCTCTCTGTAGAGAGGAGGCCCCGGCGGCCCTGGAGTGGGTGGCTCCACTCTGCAGGCAAGTCCCTGTTGACTTCCCAGCTCTCAGCAGAGAGGGTAGCTCCTCTGCAGCTGGTCATCTAGTCTCCGGTTGCTTCTCCATCCTCTGCCTTGCTCTGGTTGAGCCTGGGGTGTTTGTGGACCTCAGAGAGGAGGAAATGCATGCCGATTGGTGCATGGGCACCCAGAAAAGGTACCACAAGTCCCCACTCTGGTCTGTGGATCTGGCAGCCTGGCCTTCAGCCTTCAGGCTCTCCCTGGTCTGACCCGCCGGCTTCTGCCCAGGAATCTGCCTCCCACTGCCATTCATGGCCCCTGCTCAGCCCAACTTTGCTCCGAGATCAGAGTGGGTGTTGACAGCCAACAGCAGGGAGAAGCCAGGCAGTGGGGGCAGGGGGGCCTTCCCAGGCCCCCAAGAGTGGAGGGATGCCTGAAGCTGCAGACACAGTTTCGGTGGCTGCAGTGGCACCCGGGAGAGCAGGGCTCCTACCTGCTTGCCCTGGAAGACCACAGGAAGACTCAGATCTGCAGTTACAACTTGGGTGGCTGCAAAAGTTGCAGGCTTGCAACTCGGAAGGGGCAGGGCTCCTGCCAGCTCCATGCAGTGTGTAGTCCTGGTGGCACCTCCCTGCTGCAGCGGTGGCAGGCTGTCTGGAGCGGCTGCTGCCACGAACTGGAGGAATGAGTAATATATCAAGAAGGCAGTTTTTGAACAGAAGTATATTTTTTCATTATAATATAAACATTTGAGAATTGTTATTTCTAAAATTTCTAGTCTGAAACTATAATATAAATTAGAAAATATTTAGATAAATTCATCGATAGTTGAACAGTGACTTTTTTTTTTTTTTTTTTTGTTAAAGACAGAGGTTTCCCCTCCTTGTTTGCCAGGCTTGGAGCTGCAATGGGCGGCAACTTCGGTTCAATATTGCCAAACCTCCACCCTCCTGGGGTTCTAAGCAATTCCCTGCCTCAGCCTCTAAGTAGCTGGAATTACAGGCATGTGTCACGATGCCCGGCTAACTTTTGTATCTTTCAGTAGAGGATGGGTTTTTTTCGTGTTGAGTCCAGGCTGGTCTCCGAACCTCCCTGACCCAGGGTGATCCACCCGCCTTGGCCCCTCCCAAAGTGGCTGGAATTACAGGCATGAGCCACCACGCCGACCAATGATTGATTTTAAAGTTGAGGTTTAAATCAATATATATGGGCGGGGGCGCCGGTGGCTCAAGGCCTGTAATCCCAGCACTTTGGGAGTGCCGGAGAACGGCGGATCAACGAGGTTCCAGGAGATCGAGACCATCC